TCTAGTATTCAAGATTTTGTTGGCAGTTTGGATGGCAATCTTCAGGCCAGCATTCCCGACTTTAGACCTGACGATATTACCATTGTTACTTTTAAAAATAGTTACAAATGCATTAGGGTTATCAGAGAAGATTCGTCGGATATTTATCAAAGTCACACCAGCCACAAGGACTTTATAGCTCTCATTTCTCAGATGAAGATTGCCCTCTCTCATGCCATGAGGCAGCTTATCAAGAAAGATATTGAGGAATGGCACAATCAAGTATTAGTTTTAGGTATCACAACAGACAGACAGGCATCTCATTTGTATTCTTTGCACTGCTCATCAATCAGCTTGAATGGTAAATCAATAACTCTTTCAAATTTTACTCTTTCATTCATTGGATCCTATAAGCACGAAGTTGTTATGGATCGAATTCATCTCATTGCTAGAATTATGACAGCTCTCATTTATCCAAATAATGAAGAGGTTACCGAATATTTAACTACACAACGCCAAATAAGTATGATGTCATCCAACCAAAAGAATGAAATTTCATTTCCTAAATTAGATGCAGACAATCAATTGATAGAATACGACAAAAATTTTGACCCAATCCAAACCCGCTCAACTCTCAAAAAGGGGAAAATTAATGGCGTTGAGTATTTTATTAAATACCAACCAAATATTAACATTAATGAGGATTCTATAAGATATAACTTCCTAACTCTGTATGCTCCAATGATTGACGGGAATTTTTCACTTTCATTAGCTGGTAAATGTATGACTAGGTTCTTTAATAAGGGAAAGAAGATTAATATTATGGCTTTTTTCATTGATTTGCTTGTTCAGGTCTGTTTCTTACAAAAACAGCAAATTACACATAATGATATCAAACCAGAAAATATTGTGTTGTATGATAAGCATTGGTTTATGATAGATTTTGAAATAGCAACGAAATTTTCGCTTGAAGATGGAATATGTGTAGATAAGAACTTGAATCCACTGACATCAAAGAATTTTTCAGAAGGTAAGTTTACAAACTACTCAACCTATATTTTACACATCCCTTAATGTTGCAGGATACAGATCTCCTGAGAGTTGAGAAAAATTTAATTTCCCCAAAGAGCGATATTTATTCATTGGGAATGGTTCTGTTAGAAATTATTCATGAGGAGAGGTTGGAATTTTTAGAAGATGAAGAGACTGTTGACCTTCAAATGATGACGAAAGTATCATTCTTTCCATTATCAAAAACAAGATACTGGTCAAGTCTATGGACAAGAGAATGGATGTTTTTAGTTTACTCGATCTTTTATTTATTCCTTCAGAGAATAATGCTACTCCAAAGGTTGTTCATTTAAAGCAAAAGGCAGAAATTGTTAAAACATACTTTCAAGATAAGGACTACTTTTTGAGGAAGCACAGTCCAAAACGTGAAGATAGTGTCAGTAGAACCCTAGCCTTTTGAATTGAGGCTTTGCTCATAATTTAATTTGGAAAGTATACTTTAAATTACACG